GTCTCATTTGTCACACACGAGAATTTTTTGTAGAACATTATGCATATAGGTATCGGTTCTTCAAATAAATAACCAATCAAAGATTGCTATGGTTTTTAAAACGTATGTCTTAGCACTATTTTTCTTTAATTTTGAGAATAAACTTCAATGTCAAAATGTCAGGTCAAAAATCCTGACCAATAAAGAAACAATATTGCGACATCTAGCACCTAAGTGTTATAATATTTTACCAACAGAAATTAGAAGCATAAATAGAATTAAGATATTTAGGCATGAATGTAAAAAGTATGTTGATACAAATTGGAATAAATTTGAAGCTCTTTTCTAGGATAGCTTACACTGTCCATGTTAGATAGTTGCCATTATAGAAATATAGTTTGTGATCTTTTTTTTGACCGTTTTTTGAAGCTATATACATACATAGATACCAGTTTTTCTACTGAACGCAATACATACAGATGACTTATCATCTAGGTGTTGCAACTTCAATTTCTGTGAAGTGAATAGTGAATCAAGATCAATTGCATTGTAATGTATAGCAATTGTATTTGTTAACTTAACTAAAAATATTATAGATATGTTATATATTGTGAATAATTTATACATTCAATAAAGTAATTATTAATTATTAATTATTAATTAATAATACATTTTTGTATTCAAAGCAATCTTTGATTGGTTTTTTTTTTGAAGACCCGATATAAGGACATTTCTTTTCTAAAAAACACCGTATCACGAAAATTATATAGCCACCAACCACATACAGCAAGGCACACTAGTTTATAGCAAGAACCCCAAAAAATACCTTATCTACTGATAAAATTAAAAAGGATCAAAAACAGAGTCGTTTTAAATTAAGGTCTCTGTTGATAGCCGATTTAATATTATGCAGGTCATTATCTGAATATACTAGCGCGGTATCATCTGCAAACATAAAGTACCTTGCTTGGAGTACAGCACAGTTTGCTCGATATTTTGAGTTGTGTACGTAAAGTAGGTACTCCAAGGGCCTGACGACAGACCCCTGGGGCACACCCACATTGATGACTGAGGTCTTACTTATGCATCCATTTGCAGTTGTGTAATGTTAGTCTGCCCTTTGAGTATGATTTTAGCAAGTTGTGTGCTACTCCCCTTGGTCCCATTTTCCATAGCTTATCCAGCAGCAGATTAATGTCCACAGTATCAAAAGCCTTCTTAAGATAAACATATATGACTGTCACATACTTGTTTTTATCTAGCTCTCCATTGTTATGTCCCAGAAAGTCCACTGTGGCACTCAATGTACTGCTCTGTTTCTGGAAGGCATACTGAAAATTGTCAAGCTTGAACTTGTTATCAATTAAACTTCAAAAGTCTGGTCTTCAAGGTGTTTTCTGCTATTCTTGAGAAAGTATTTAATATCGATATAGGTCGGTAATTGTTCAGGTCGTTGTGTTCTCCGCCTTTGTGTATTGGTGTAGTAATTTTCAATTCTTCAGGAAAAACTCCGGTTTCTGAAATGTTGTTCACTAGTGAAACTATTTTGTCCCCAATAATGTTGAATAAGTCTAGTATGTCCTGCTTTGAGATATTATCTGTTCCTGGTGATGCTATTTTGGGTAAGATTGGTTGGTTCTAGGTAAACAGTACTTTCGACTTCTTCATCCGCAAATTTGTCGTTTGTTAGTGGGCTTGATTGGCTAATTTTACTCCTACATTAGAGAAATGACGGTTCATTTCCTCCACGTTTTCTATTATATTTCCGTTTGTGCTTTTGATTTGGCTTATATGGCTCTCTTTTTTTTTTGCTGTCTTGCGAGGATAGTTCATGTGTTCTTGATATCACTTCCGGCATTCTCGAATTTTCTTTGTGGATATTGTTTTTTGAGCCTATTTCCCAACTTGCTGACATAGCTTTTTCTCTTTTAAAGTTTTTTTTTCGTATATTTATTCGGGTTTTGTTTCCATCTGACGTATAATTTATCTCGCTGTCTAACCTTTTCTTTATATTCCTGGGTTATTCAATGTTGGTTTTTGACGATCTTAATTTTGTACTTTGTTGTGTTTTCGTCGCGGGTTGTGTTAATTATTATAACAAAATTAGCATCGTATGGTATTGTTGATGTCTGCGTTGGGTTGGATTAATAACTATTTAGACTACAGATTCCATAAAAACAATAATAGGCGATATTTCAAAAAAGAATAAAGCTTGGTGGGTTTACCTTTGGGTGTACCCCAAGAAAGTGTCTTTGGGTCCCATTTTATTTGTGATATATCAACGATCCCATTAGGGTTTTTGAAAACTGTTTTGTTAATTTATTTGCGGATGATACTCTTATATCTGCAGTTGGTGAAAATTATTTAAAAATTGCAAATATTTTAAATGGCAAGCTTAATGTATTGTATGGATGGTTATGTGCCGCAGGCTTTTGTGGTGATTCCGGTTTTATTTTCTAAATATGTCAATGAGCTGTTGAGTCCGAGGTTGAGTCTTTTGCCTTATATTTTTATTCTCGAATTGGTCAGTTTGATATTTAGAAAGGTTACTGGTTTTGTGCAAGAGAGAGCATAATATATGGTTTTTCGACACAATCAATTGCCCCTACATATCCCCAAACTCGCATTGACTAAAAAATCAATTATTTACGAGGGGTAGTTAACTCCTTAAAATATGTACACAGATTTCAAATCCTCATTGGTTCTGTAGAATTTTGAGGATTTTGAAAATCTTCACACGATTTCACAGGATTTTAGAAGATTTTAGATTTTCAAAATTTAAGGTATTTTGGAGCATTTTAGGCTCGATTTTAGTTGATTTTGAAGGGGTTTTAGAGCTTCCAAAGGATTTTTGGAGATTATGGCGGTTTTTTGGGGACTCTAAGGGATTTTTGCGAATTTCAAAGGATTTTTGAAAATGTTGAAGATCTGCTGTCATCATTATCTACATCTATCTATACTGTATAAAAGGCAAAATATGTCTGTGTGTCCAGAAGGTTCACCTGCTTCTAGATTAGCATTGAAAAAAAATTATGACATTATGCAAATTTCACCCCTAAACACCCTTAAGTAGAGAGAGATGAAATGCTAATTTTTCGTTTTTCTCCAGTTTTATACTACAGGTGAAGCCTTTAAGGGTAGTGTTGGATTAGTCTGAGCAAGCATTGACTATATGAATACCGGGCTAAAATAGGCGCGTGCAAAGCCGCGAGTACAGCCGCGAGGAACAGTTAGTAATATAAAGCTAGATTAGACAGTTAGTCTAAACTGATAACGTGCTTTTGTGGTTTCATAATAGATGAACTTCAAAATAAACATACTGTCTGTCGATTTTAATCTGATACTCCAAAGGAATGTGAGCTTGTGGCTCCCTGTTAGAACGCCAAGGGTCACCTGACGTCATACCTGTTTTTGCCATATGCTTCACCCCTTCGCTCCTCATACGGAAAGTGTCAAATCAAAAACGACCGACAATAATAGCTTTGTTCCAACCGAGGTTCCAATCCAGCAGGAAACCGTACATTTCACCGTCAGGATTCTGCGCAAAACGTAAAATTTGTGCGTATTTTATAATGATAGAGATTCTTATGAAATTTCTTTGCAAATTATTAATAATTCAAGCTAAGATATGTCAAAAATGGCTCACGCAAATGTGATCAAGATATACAGGGTGGTCCATTTAACTTGAGACAGTCTAATATCTCGAAAACGGTGCGTTTTTGAAAAAAAAAGTTTTAACAAAAGTTACATGTTATCATGGGGGAAACAAAATTGCTGCACTGATTTTTGACATTGACAACGGTTTCAAGGTCAACTCTTTTTTTTCAATGGAAACGTATTTTTTTTATTGCAGAATCTTATTCTACGGAAAAAACAAGTAACTTTTACTTGAAGCATTTTTCGATCCGTTCTCAATTTAAGCTATAAAAAAGAACGAATCAATTTTTTTTTATTTTCCTCCTCACAAAATCTAAAAGTAGAGAAAGGTTACCATAGTGAAAAACTACCTGAAAAACTATAACAATTGTTCAAACTGATGTCCGCCAACTTCAGTACACTTGTCAATTCGCTGTAAAAAGCTCTAAGCATTTCTTATGCGTTCCATCATATTTTCTGGTGTTGTGGGAACCTCTTGATAAACTGTCTGTTTGATTTTTAAAGTGAATTGACAAGTGTGTTGAAGTTGGCTGTCATGATTTTGAACAATTGTTATAGTTTTCGAGGTATTTTTTTAATATGATAACCTTTCTCTACTTTTCGATTTTGTGAGGAGGAAAAAACAAAAATGATTCGTTCTTTTTTATCAGCTTAAATTTAAACCGGATCGAAAAATGCTTCAAGTAAAAGTTATTTGTTTTTTTCCGTAGAATAAGATTCTGCAATAAAAAAAATATGTTTCCATTGAAAAATAAAAGAGTTCACCTTGAAATAACCTTAAAAACGTTGTCAAAGTCAAAAATCAGTGCCGCCATTTTGTTTCCCCCATGATACCATGTAACTTTTGTTAGAACTTTTTCTTTCAAAAACGGACCACTGTTTTCGAGATATTAGACAGTCTCAAGTTAAATGGACCACCCTGTATATTTGGAAAATCGTCAGTGTGAAAAACATCTAACTACACTGATCAAAATGAAAAAGGAGCCACTTCTGAATATGTTCGTAGTTTTTAACGAAAGTATTTTATCTTTTTATTTGAATATAGGTCTGTTCCAACACGTTAGAAACCGTCCCATGAATGGTTTGAAAACCACTCTGTATACGAATTTTGGATTTTATGCACAAATATTAGGCTTTGCGCAACATCGTAAACAAACCGTCATAAAACAACCTTTTTGGTTTCATATGGAATTGCGTTTCGGCTGGGAAAACAGACATTTTTCTCTTCAATGCCATACAGAAATTATATTAAATTACTGAAGTGGCTCCTTTTTCGTTTTGATCAGTGTATTTTCAATTAACCCAGGACCAAGAATTCCCATGGAAAAATAAACTCAAAATTCCAAAATTATATTATATTTCAGCCAATTATTCTACGATGGTCATCAGCAGTTAGGTCAGAATCTAGCACAAGCAGTCCAAGCAGAACCAGCCTGCCCGCCGAGCGATAGACTGTTTAGATTAATCCTGACTGGTTTGGAGCATGAGCCAAACAGAAAAGACCGTCCCCATAATTTTGGCATTGGAAACAATGACATTGGACCAGGACTAGGTTACAATCAAATTAATGCTCTTCAAATTTTTGTTTCAAATTTATCTTCCAACAGATTTGGAATTTGAAACTGACTCAAATACCCTTGCTCCAGAACCAGCCTTGTATGAAACAGCTTATGTTACTTCACATAAAGGTAACTGTAGAGCAGGCTGTTTTTCAGCTGACGGTCAACTTATTGCCACCGGCAGTGTGGATGCCAGCATAAAAATTCTGGATGTTGACAGAATGTTGGCAAAGTCTGCTCCAGATGAAATGGATCCTTCAAGAGCTGTCGAACAGCAAGGACATCCCGTTATCCGAACATTGTATGATCACATGGAAGAAGTTACTTGCTTGGAATTTCATCCTAAGGAACCGATTTTGTGTTCAGGATCAAAAGATCATACTATTAAATTGTTTGATATATCAAAGGCCAGTGTTAAGAAGGCATTTAAAACAATATCAGTAAGGAAAATAATTTAAATGGGGATCTTTCGAAGTTTAGTTTTTTTTTTAATAGGAATCAGAACCAGTTAAATGGTTTTCTTTTCATCCAAGTGGAGATCATTTGATTGTATCCACAGATCATCCAGTAATAAGATTGTATGACGTCAATACTTTACAATGTTACGTGTGTCCTTTTCCCAATCAGCAACATTTTGATACTGTTACATGCCTAAAATGGTCTCCAGATGCGAAATATTTTGCTAGCTGTAGTAGAGATGGGGCCATAAAGTTATGGGATGGAGTTTCCAACAGGTAATTTTTAACTTGAAAACAAGAATTGTGAAATCCATTATTTACCTATTATTTTAGATGTATAAACACATTTGCTCAGGCTCACGATGGTTATGAGGTTTGCTCAATAGTATTTTCACGAAATGGAAAATATCTGCTATCTACCGGCAAAAATTCTATTTGTAAATTGTGGGAATTATCTACTAGCAGGTGCTTAATTGCTTATACAGGAGCCGGTACAACTGGAAAGCAAGAATATGAAGCACAAGCAGTTTTCAATCATTCAGAAGACTATGTTCTTTTCCCGGATGAAGCAACAACGTCTCTATGTGCCTGGAATTCTAGAAATGCTTCTAGAAAGCAACTGATGTCTTTGGGACATAATGGGGCAGTGAGACTTATAGCTCATTCACCCACCCAGGCTGCATTTTTGACATGTTCAGATGATTTCCGAGCCAGATTTTGGTATAGGAGATTACCTATTTTGTAGATGATTTTAGCTTAAGTGTTTGACTGTTCATAATATAAAATTAATGGAAATAAATCGTCGCCTGACGCTATACCTTCTGTCAAATGTCATAGTAAACCAAAAAGTCTTCCGTGTTTCTGTGGTTCTTATTCAAATTTATATTTCCTGAGGATTTGGATAAATTTAATGTTGTTTTTTTCTAAATCTTCTCAGTGAGCTTCAAAATTGAACTGAGAAATCTGAAAGCTTGGAAAAAAAATGTATGAATAATTGATATAGAAGAGAATAGAATAATTGAACTATTTTTTGAGGTTATTTACTACCTAATGACTAATTATTTCAATATCTTTTTTTCTCATTTTAAGAGCACAACCAGTGTAAATCTCTATTCTCAAAATTGGGATTAGGGAAAAGAGCAAATTATTCGGAAAAGATACGAAGTTTTTTTCTGGGTAAATATCTTTTTTGACTAGTAGGAGTTTCAAGAATATGAAAATATTCGCTAATATAACCCAATAAGCTTCTGCAAAAATTTTTGGATATCCAAAAAGAAAATAATCGCCATATGATGGAATTTGAATAATCGCCAGTTACACTTTACTTGTATGGCCCTGTGAATCAGTTTTTTTCGTTGTTTTTTCCATATGAACAGTTTATGAAAAGTTCTTCAACAATAATGCAACAATATTGTTGTCTTGCATTTTTTTTTTATTTACAATGGTTTTATTTAACAGATTTTTAACAAAATATATGTATTTTCACAGTTTCCAAATCCTAATAATCCTAAATTACCTATTAACATTCTATAAGTTACCTACCTAGGTATGCGTTTCGAAAAAATAGGAATATGTTAAGGCGTGTATATTAATCTAGGAAATAGTAAACTTTGCATATTTTTATACCTACATATGTAGATATGTTTTTGCACCAAAAATTAATTACTTTCAAGGTTTGACGTATGGAATGTTTTGGTAAAAATACGACCAAAAAAAATCTATAATTAGAATATTACATAATTGTACTTAATTACCTTCGACCACATTCATAAAATATCACTGTCTAGTGTCTGGGTAGTGGGTGGCTGTAGGGTGTAATACAACATAAATAAAAGGTATCTTACACACTATTTCTTATTATATTTGATAATTACACCTGAAGTAAACTAGCATACCTTCACCTTCTCTGGAATTAAGGAGATATCGATTATAACCCAAATGGAGTTATGCAGTATTAGCGCCTCAGGTTAGTTTGACATTAGGCCTATGCGCGATTCGATTTTTAACACTACCTAGGACTAGGAACATCATGTTATGAAGCATTTACGACAAGCACTATTCGAATAAACTTGACATGAATTGAAATGCGCGGGGATATTTTTATAGGTTTTAATTTTTTCAATTAGGCTTTAATTTGTTTTTAAGTTTTGTCGTTAAAGAAATAAAATATTTGTTACGAAAAAAATTATATAGCTAAGATAGATCCTTTTTAGCCTGTAAAAACGAATAATTTGTTTTTATTGTTAGAAACAATTGTACAAATTGTTTATGTGAAAAGTCAAGATCGGGTTCAAAACACGCTGTGGAAATATATTGAATTTGAATAAACTGAAAACGTAGTATCTCTCTATTATTTTTAAGAGTGTCAAGCCCTTCACATTAAATTTGTACAGTCACAGTCTAGACAAAGAGTAGGTCAGGCTATTTTGCATGCATTACTTGGTGTTTGCATTCGTGCTCAAGCGAGTACTGGGCTTTGTATGTTTAGGTATAATGCAAATAAGACATAGCTGTAAAATATTGTAATATCATTTGATTCACTAATAACTAATAAAATATATAATTCTATTGTATAATTATTTGTATGTAGGTACAGTCAGAGTCATTGCAATTTGCACACACTATATAAACATCCTCCATCATGTGTCAAAATCAGATTGATAAATCATTTATAGTTTTAATAAACTGTTGAAGGAAAAAAAATATTTGTACACCACTGCACTAAATAGATTTATTGGTTAGAATTTTGACTTAATACGAGGGATGTTAAAAGAGTACCTATAGTATGTGCCAATTGCAATGATCAATCAAAGGCCCTTAGCATAGCCAGAACCATTTGCTGTGTCTCAGGCCTCACGACATTCTTGGAACATGAATAAGATGCTCAATTGATAGGGCTCAAGGCTCAAATTATAATGCCATATGTCAGTTTTTGCACAAATACACACGTTAATAAATACATTTTGAAATTCTTTTGAGGGTAGTTGTTTTATCCTATTCCGTGGAAATACTTACTAATAAACATACCACAGGAAAAATTAAAAAAGAGGGTAAACAAAAGAATGTCAAAACTCTGTAAGAACTACCTTTGTGATCCTTATTGTTGAGCACTGCATACAAATAATTATACATACTAATCTATAAAGTAAGGCTGCAGCGGATTTAGGACAGCTACAGGTGCAAGCGAAATATCTTGAACAGGTAACTTATTCCATTCAGATACCTATATCTACTCTGAGTCCAAAATAAGTGTCAGTGACTCAAATAATGCCGCATACAATAATGACAAGTCAAACTAGGGTACCTACCTACGTATTACTTGATCGATTAAATATACATGCCACTGGAATTGTGTGGTGGATGTGAGGAATAAGTCACTCACACTTATTTTGGACTTAAATTACTTAGTTTATTATGTTTATTCTTCTGTTTCTTAGAAATTCCGCCCCTGAGTTAATAAATAAACTATAGAAAAATAAGGATTTACTAGAATTTCGAGTAGTTATAAATGTGTGGTATAAATCATGAAAAAGCTTTATCTTGATTCGTTTTATGTTTAGGGACCAAATGAACTTGATATTTTACCTTTATTCTTGACATCTAAATTCGAAACTTCTTTACCTGCTCTGTGTTTATAAACTTGCCAAACGTTAACAAAGCCTATACCTACCTACTTATTGGTAATCGTAAAAATTAAATAATATAATATCACTTATTTTTTGTTCTTATTATTATGATTATTTAAAATATTTCCAAATCGTTCGTTAACGTTATCATATTGGCTAACATTATCGGTGTTATTGTTTTCTGAGCGGCTTGAGTTTTCTGTATTCTGATTTGAATTTGAGCTTGTGGCGTTGTTGTAATTGCTAGCAACTGATGGCGTATAAATAGGCGTTCCACTCTGTAAAAATTAGGCAATTTTAATTTTCGTATGTTTTTTTTTTCTCTGCCCAATCTCATATTCCAAAGAATTTGAAACAAACTTAAATTTTCGGTCTGTACCTGTATATTCAAATCCCTCCTAATTTCTGGGTGCGCTTGCATAACTAACATTGGCCTGATTTCTTCGTCTTTTATCACACAGTCGCAATCAGTTTCTTCGCATTTCGGACATTTGTCCATTAAATCAGATTTTATGGAATTTTTAAGTTTCTAGAAATAAAATATTATATTATTGGATGCCCTATAACTAACTCATAATTTTCAGATTTATATTATTAGAATTAACCAGGACACTCACTTCCATTAAAGTTGAACCTGGAGCTTTCACAAACACAAGAATCATGTAAGCTGGAATGCAAATAATTGACAATGAACAGATAATCCAACCAATCGCAATTGCCCATTTAGGATAGTGGTAAGCTCCATTATTATATGTTGGTGGTTCATAATCTATTATTAGGAACACCCATAGCGCAAAAATCATTAAAGGAGTGATTACCTAGAAAAAAATATGAGCTTATAAATAAATATGTAGGTAGATAATAATTTTACTTACCAACCAACACATTTTGATAAAATAGCCAGGATGTCTGCCGGTCATAGTTTTTACATTTTTACTCAATCTAAATGCTCCATAGAACCATGATATTGCAATTACTTCAAAAAAAGCTAGATACATTATGGATATAGAAGCTGCATAATGATCGATGAGTTGGAAAAAGTATATGCCACCCTACGGTGTTATTATTTCAAAATAACCTATATATTCAACTATAAAATCCATATCGAACTGACCTGGGTGACATTTGGTAAGCCGCACAAAAACGAAATTACGCATATAATTAGTACCAGGACCTCGTGGCACATTAAGTGTTTCTTAATCCAACCAGGAAAGCCATCTTGAATTGACGTCACGACAACTTCTACAATGGCAAACTAAAAAAAATCTGAATGAGATTATTTACAACCTGAATAAAAACAAAATTTGTTATTACTTGGCTGTTTAGTGCCAAACAGATTAGCATGAAGAAAAAAAACACAGCCCATAGTTGAGAAGTGGGCATTTTCGCCATAGTTTGTGGATAGACTACGAAAATTAAACCAGGACCTGCAACAGAAATTTAGTTCAAAATAAATGCCTTTTGATTTTATATTTTAAAAGGATGTTTAAATGTACATTAGTAAGTACCTACCCTATGAATTTTTTGAAATAATTCTTCATTTTTGTACTAAAAAGACAAGTCTTTTTTTTTTAAAAGGGGAATGTAAGTGCAAAATTCACTGTGCGTACCGGGGGTTAGTTTGCATATCTATAGATCCTATATATTGGCCGAATTGTCGAATTTTGGAAAAAAATATGTAGGAAAAGGTATTTTGTACAACTTCTGTTTACATTTTTTTCGAAGGGTAAACCGCCAGTCAAATTTGTACACTGAATACATGGAGTACAAAGGAATCCATGAGAATACATAAGAAGACAAGGTAAGACATGCGATGGCAGAGACAATACAAAGCTCTACAAAGGAGCGCATGTAACTAAGTACTATACTGACAGAAAATATGCTGTCTTTACATGAACATCCAGATAAAAATAATAGATAATTTAGTAGCTATGATAAAAATATCGGCCAGCGAATGAAAGAGTTCAATCGTTTAGTGTTTAGTAAGTTTTACTATAACATCGAATAATACAAACTCGAATATGAAGGAATTATAGTTGTTAAAATTCAATATGATATACAATGCAAAACTAACTATTGATCTAATTATTATAACTGTTTTGTCTTATAATCTGATGCTCGATCTTAGTTTTTGGGAATGCATAACGCGCCAGCTTTTTTCAGTTGAAATGGATCGTTACCTAATTACTCATTAGGACCATGAAATATGTAGATTCCATTTGAAGTACATGTCTTCTTCACTTGAGGTTTCTAAAGGCATTCCGCCATCTGAAGAATCGTCAACTAAATGCTTCATTTGTACTTCATCCTCAGATGTAGATGTAGAGCTCATTGTAAATTCGGTCCCTACAAAATTTTCAATTTTCTTTTTCTTCATCTTTTTAATTCCTTTTTTAGGATTTCTTGTAAGTTTAGGTTTTTTGATGCGGCTAGATTGACTGCTGTAATAAAACCTTCGGAGTCTGTCTGTCCTTATTTTACTCGAGGACTCATCTATAGAAGCCAACAAAACGAGGAGTTTTTTATTATCATGACATATTTTTCCTTTAGATTTACCCTAACATAAGGAGATTTTTCTGTCATATCGACTTTGGTAAATTTATTGGAGAAATCTTTCAAATTCAATGAAAATTCCTCTTCAGGTGGAATATTGTTTCCTCTCGTGTTTTCTTGAGCCATAGTGTGATCAGTAAGGTTTTCAACTTGGTTTTCAAGTTCGCCTATTCAGTGGCGCACCCAAGGGGGGGTTTTAGGGGTTAAAACCCCCCCCGAAATTTAGCACTGGTACAAAGAATTTTCCGGAAAAATACTTTTTTTGCGATTTTGGTTAATAGGTAGGTACCGTCAAACTTTCCATTTCAAATTTTAAAAAAAGCCTATTTACGTTACGCGAAATTACTGAAATCTGGAATCGAAACCAATAACATGGGAATCTGGCAACCAGGCCCTACATCGTACATCGCGATGGCATGTAATATTGACAGTTGATTTGTAAAGGGCGCTACTGTACTTGGAGCTCTTCAAATTTTGGCGCGTAAATAATCCAGTGTAATTTAAACATCAAAGGCGTTTTTTCGCGTCTCAAATGTTTCAAAACATTTTTCAAAACTGGTTTAAGTAATGTCACTGTGACGTCATAATTTCTCGGCGCGAGAAAATGGTTTGAAAACGTGGATTGGATTGTATTTCGAAACGGTTTGAACCAATTTTGACGTGACGTCATGAGTTTATCGCGAGAATGTACACTTGGCCAATCATAAAACTAGTACGCCTTCTCTTATTATGTGGTATTGTGTAAATCGACCTTTCTTATCACTTCAAAATTGACAAAAAGAGTCAAGTCAGTGTCATATTTAAACCAATCATAACATAAAAACATGTTGCGTATACTTTTGTTCAGCTTTGACATTGACAAAAACTATCTGACCTAGGTTTTTCAGAAGAGACTTTTTGTTGTTAAGCCTGACTCACATTAGGCAACTGTCCATTTTTAGCATTGAACTAAACAAACACTCTGGAACGGGCGCACTGCTTTATGCTAGTGTGCCGAATTTTGATATATGCAACTCAGCAATACAGTGGGATTGTTGTCTAGCTCGCACTCATTACGATTAACGTAAAAGAAAGAAGAGCTTCTTCATCTTCCGAACCTCAATGATCTAAACACTTCAAACAGCTGTTCTCAATAGCCGCCATAGTGCAGAGAGAGATGCAAATCCCACTTGTTTGTTGTCCTTCCTGGCACAAACCCTTGCATTAGAAACATTATGCAGCCACCGTTCCAGTGTGTTTGTTTAGTTCATTGGTATTTAGTCATCTTTCCTTCTACTCAGTTAAACGGTTTAAAACTATTGACATTTACCGCAAAAATTGAAAGCACTCCAGTTCACTCGCGCCCTCTACAAAATTTTGGGGAACTTACTGGATGTTTGCTGCCATTCGCGGTCATGGTAAAGGTGTATTTCCACCAAGCGCGCAAAACGATTGCAAATTTGCGAATGATCAGCAATGTTTGTGATTTGTGAACATTATTTGATTGGTGGAGACGGAATTTAGAATGTTTGCAACGATGTAGGAAACTATCTTTCTTTTAAATACACATGATTATGAAAACAGTGGCGGTGACAATAGCTTTTTTTCGTGCAGCTATTTTGCTGCGAGCGTTCGTTTTTATTGTTTTTTGATGGAAATTACCTACAAAAAGTTATTTTTCGAAGGCTTAAAATAAACGTTTTTGGGCGTGACACCGGATAAAAAAAATTTCTTATGGCGGCCGGCCTACGGCAACGCCTGTCTGCGATGAACCTTGATCATTATGAAACCCCCCCCCCCCCCCCCCCAAATGAAAAACCTGGGTGCGCCACTGCGCCTATTTCAATCAATTTCGTTGAAATCGACATATGTATATCATCATGATTAGTGACAAATCTAAATTATTGCAGTAATTTTCATCAGCAGTAATATGACATTATGATAACGTCATTTAGAGCTGCATTTACACAATTACTGTATTCCTTTTATACATCGAGTTACACCGAACGAGCTCCTCGGAGTCACTCAAAAACACACAATTCAGATTTTACCATTATTTTTTAATTAACATTACTGTCATTACCTAAAAGGGCTTCTTGCACCCCCCGCAAATTTGATGCATTAGGGGAAAGGGGGATGCACTATGAGCGACTCGAGTGCTTAACGCACTTTTAAAAGGAACGTTCAAGCTTTTGACATTGAGCAGCTCCGAGTCACTCAACGGGTAAAAGGTATACAGTAACTATGACTACGTTTATGGACAATTTTTTTTCTGAGGTATTACTATGGAACAAAAAATCATCCCAAAACATTCTTTGAGTGATTTGTTTTGTCATACTCGAGGTCATTTCATAAAAAAAATGTATATATTATTATTATAATTCTTTTAAAAAGGACAAAAAAAGGACTAGGACGTAAATTTTAGGGGCATATTTAGATTGAACAGGCTCGAAATAGCCCAAAAAGGGTTATGTAGGTAACAATGGATGTTTGTTTGACTTGCGGAGATAATCACATCACAACTCAAAAAATAGTGGTGAGTTGGTGAGGACGCGCGTAAACATTAGAATTTTGAAGGAATAGGTTCACTCCAGAATACATAAGAATACATGAGAATACAAATTAATACATACAAATACATTAGAATACATAGGGCATAGGTACAGAATATACATTGGATAACATGAGAAAATTAGAATACATTAGATTACATGCGATTACGCGAGGCTTGTAAACTGGACGGTTTACCCTTCGATTTTTTAAATAGCTGGTTGTAGGATAAAAGTTACCACAAAAAGAAAAGCGTCAACTGAGCATTGAAAGAATGTTGAATTAAAGCCTAAGAATACCAAGATAAAGGGCGCCAAAGCTAACTCCCTCTGTTTTTGTTTTGAATCACAGTAGAAGCCAAGAATACGAGAGGATTGAGCGCTCTAAAATTTTTTTTGAATATTTTTTTAATAAAATTAGTAGCACGAGCCTAGCAGTCGTTTCTTCCTCGGCAGGTATTCACATTTTTTTCACAAAAATAATTAGCTTTTTACATACCTAACTCAAACAAAACTCGACCAATAGGAGCAGATTGCCATAAGCTAACCCATATTTTCAAAATGGTCTCTGACGCAAAGAGAAATTTTATTGGAGTTGTGAAATCAGGTATCTTCTTCATCAACTCACCTCCAAAAAATTTACTTGTCCGTTTTTAGATACGGTGTTTTGGATACCTACTAGTTTGAAATTCTTTTTAAAGGTGACTCAGTTGGAGAACCTATTTATGGTTTTCCTTAATCTACGAGTTTCATCATTATGGAAACAACTATATTCGCACAATCCTAGTTATAAAATTCAAAACCAATATTTGCATTGTAATTTTCAGGATGTGTAGGGTCATAAAACACATCATGTGCAAATAATGTGTAGATATATAACGTCATAATCATAACAAATCAAAAAAATAAATAAAACCTATTTCTATAAAATACTTCAAATTTATTAGAGAGTGAACTCTGCGCTACCGGTAGGTCCCGTTTGTTTCATTGATTGTTTGCCTACCGTATATGTATAACGCTAAAACATGGTAGGTCCCCAATTGCCACATTATATAACGCCTATCGGTAGGTAGGTACTGTTTGTGAAAAAAATCCGAGCCTACCGGTAGGTTCATATTAATTTAAAAATCCGTCGCCTTATATTGTGCGTATAATGTGCATTTACGTTTGATAGGTGATATATTTGAAAAAAAAATTCCACGTTTTTGGAGGATTTACGCTTTTGAGAATCTTTTCTTTGAAGTTTGACGAGCAAAGCGAGCAATCAGGGACTCAAAAATAATTAATTAATTTAAATTTCAAGGTGTTATAATTTAATAAAGGTTTTTCACGTTTTTGGTGGATTTACGTTTCCGAGGATATTCTCTTTGAGTTTCAGCGTCCGGCGAGCTGCGGCGAGCAGAGCGAGGCGAGCAATCGGAAATTTAACAATATTTTGAACAAGAAGGTGAAAAGGTTTTTCACGTTTTTGGTGGATTTGCGCTGCCCAAGATCCTCTCTTTGAGGTTTGGCGAGCGTAGCGAGCAATCGAAGACTCAAAAATAATTCCAAGGTGTGTGCAGAAGGATTTTCAATAGGTTGCCGTCAAGAATGAAGTAAATTCCTAACATCAACAAGCTTAAAGCCCAAATTAGAAAGATATTAGGTACTAATGAAGACTTATTACTCAGTGGACGAATTTCTTAATGACAATGCTAGGTACATACAAACAATTTTATTAGAACGCATTTAGCTAGCAAGAGCTGGCTGGTAGGATATACGGATTCTGAAGTGATAAAACACGTTCCAGTAGGCGCTTGATCAATTAACAAAATTTATCAGTAGGCGCACAATCGGTGGATGAAAAAGACCTACTGGTAGGCGTACGACCGTTGGATAAAAAAGGACCTACCGTTAGGCGAAGGGTTCACTCCCAAATTAATTATCTTTTTGGGCAACGTCATACATCGGATACTTAGATATGTATTTTAAAAATTGATCTATACTTATGTATCAAACGTTATTCTTAGGAGTTAAATAAAATGTTGATAAAGAAAGATATTTACCGTCATCAATGACATCTTCTATTGATGTTCCTTGTTCATTTGCAATATTACCAATAGTTGCAAAGGCAAAAATACCCACAATTAAACTTGTTATACCGTTGACCAACCAAACTGCGATGGTATCATGCAGAATACTATTGTTGTACTTGTTATAACTGGCAAAAGATATCATAGATCCAAAAGCGCAACCCATGGAATTGAATGTTTGACTGGCTGCATTCACCCATACCTAATTAATGTTTGTTTGATGTTCGATACAGCAAATATGTTATTTGATTGTAGTTACCTTAGCATCTAACAGTAACTCAAATCTGGGTTTAAAGAAATATCTCATGCCTTTGTCAGCTCCTTCCAGCGTCAAAGATTTAATCAGCAAAACAATAATGATTACAAATGGGAACGTCGCGGTAAAGTATCGAACTTTTGCAGATGATTTGATACTTTTCCATATTCCAAAGTAAATTAACACCCAGGCACAAATTAGACAAGCTACGAGTTCCCAACGAAGAATATCAAATTCTTCTATGCCTTTACCAATTTGCAACACTTTTCGACTTAAAATGAAATCCTCTCATAAGTATCTATAGGAACATAGTAGGTAATATGAACTTACTCATAAAATTCCTCAGCTGGACTTTGGCTGAATAATGGTTTGGTGATATTCTGGCTAAATTTTGAGGGTACCCAGCAATACTGAGTATTCCATCGGTGCGTACAATCATCCCAAGGTTGTTTCGTTCGAAATGATGTGAAGAAATAATATACACCGTATGCTATTATTACACTATAGTAGGTTGACATTAGGAAAGAGATTACTACACTACCAAGACCAGTACCTAAAGAAAAAAAGCAATACTCGCATTTATTTTTTAAACTAATGAGAGGATTGTTATTTAATAGTGTCGGTTGATCAAATTTTTTCTCATTAAAAATCCAATACTAACCTTTTAACAAGGGGCATAATTGCCCTAGAGCACCAATAGGGCCCCTTCCAGTAAACTGACCCACAGCTAGTTCCATGTATAACATGGGACCCCCTATAAACACCATTATTATGGCATAGGGGATTAAAAATACGGCTGGAACAAAAATTAGAAATTATTATTAAGCGAGTTTCTATAATGCAACTACAGCTACAGTTTGGTAGGTAGGTATAAAAAAAATAGTTAGGCATTTGACTTGCAGCAATTTGATACTTTGATTTGGTATATCCATTTCATTTAGGGCTAGAACTACGGTCATTTGAAAACCTGTACCTAATGATAATTACTGTATTCCTTTTATACATCGAGTTACACCGAACGAGCTCCTCGGAGTCACTCCAAAACACACAATTCAGATTTTATCATTATTTTTTAATATTAACATCACCATGATTACCTAAAAGGGCTTCTTGCACCCCCCGCAAATTTGGTGCATCAGGGGAAAGGGGGATGCACTATGAGCGACTCGAGTGCTTAACGCACTTTTAAAAAGAACGTTCAAGCTTTTGAGATTGTGCAGCTCCGAGTCACTCAACGGGTAAAAGAAATACAGTAATTGCTCTGTTGCTCGAGTTTAATACGTCCTTACCTCCTCCACTTTTGTAACACAAGTACGGAAATCGCCATATTGAACCCAATCCAACGCTGTAGCCTATACAAGCCAATACGAATTGCAGTTTGTTGGACCAATGTTGTCTTCTTGGCTTTATGTACACGCTATCTTCATCGTCTCCGCTCCCATCATCACTTTCATCGTCATACACATATTCTTCTGGTGGCCTGGAAAAAATAATTGTCAACAAATATATTTTTTAATTCACTTAATATATGGGCGATAAATTATTTAAAGTTTATGACATAATATTATCTTATCCAAGCACGGATTGCTTTATAAATTATATTTTTTTCTAAAACCTTATTGTATTGTTTACCGTGCGTAGTATGTATTTACAAAAACATAATTCTAGTAAACGTTGATTGAATAAGTTGTTTAATCAACGACGTAAACAAGGTAAATTTTGGGGTATTATGCTGGAATTATAAAGGGTTTTTTTTTATCGACGTTTCTATCTATTTAGTTTAAAATTTGCTCCAAGTTTCTAATAGCAAGAAACCGAATTTATTTGGTTTGTTAGTAGAAGCACGAGTCATTCTTGTTTTAGATTTGAAAATTTTCAATTCCTTATTTATCTAGATTTTGGAAAAAGCATTGTAGCAAACGTTGAAAGCGGCAAAAAAGATTGATGCAGGCCAAATTATTATAAAAGTCCTTAGTTCCCTTTCATCATGAAATTAAAGTTAAAAAACTGCTAATGGTAATTAATGGTAATTGTTCTATTAAAACCTATTATTTTTGATACTTTGTATCCCAGTTCACCTCATATTACCATGCAAAAAGACGCGTTTTCATAAAATAAATGGGTGTCCGTGTCTACTCGACACATATGCGATGATAGCGGAAACTATTCAGTGTGAGAAAATAGGTATTTTACCTATTTATTGGAAGTAAATTTTGTTTTTTATTACAGTGTATTAGGGAGACAATTTTTTTTTTCAATTTCAATCAACTGTAGAACAAAAAAACCTTGAAAATCGTTTAAGTTTACCCCATAATGACAATGAAGAATTCTGCAGAAAGCTTTGGCATAGAAAACACCATTGTCAAATAGATCTGTATCATGCTAGAAGGCAAAATCGTTACAAGCTCGATTGGAAGTGCGGAGATTCGTACCGTTACCGTACCGACCGTAGTCGGACTTTGCCCGCAGGGGGGGTGTACTATCGCCCTTTCTGTGGTGCCTAGTGCTGGAGAGGCTGCTCCACACTCAAGTCTACGCGGACGATTTTGTTATCGTCGTGGCTGGTAGAGTACGCAGCACCATTAAAGGGATCATGCAAAGAGCTCTTAACATGGTCGAAGGATGGTGCAATAATCACGGGGTCTCGGTAAATCCGGACAAGCAGTAGTAGTAGTACCATTTACAAAACGAGGAAACGTGGGTCTGAAGGGCTGATGCTGTTTGGATTCTGCATCCGATTCGGTCGAATATCTAGGAGTCATCATTGACTCGAGGCTGACCTGGAACGGTCACGTCAACCGGGTCGTCCAGAGGGCCACTGCTTGCCGTTGGGTCTGTAGAAGATCTATCGGACGCACCTGGGGCTACCAACCCCATATAGTCCACGGGCTTTACACAGCAGTGATAAGGCCAATCATTACGTACGGCAGCCTAGTTTGGTGGAACGCTCTTAGCAAATCCACCTACCGGGCAAAGCTGGACAAGCTCCAAGGACTTGCCTGCATGCCTACAATTAAACCTTTGGAACCACCCCAACGCTGGCATTGGAGACCATACTGGGAATAATGCCTCTTTATCGCTTTATGGAGGCACGGACCCGGGAGGCTCCAGTCAGACTCAATGATTAGGGAGAATGTGTTCATAGAGGGCTGAACATGGGACATGCAACGACTTTGACTGATACTTTCAGACAGGACCCCCTTCTCACCAGAAGGTATGCAATGCCTTCCCTAGACAATACAAGGTCGCCATTCCTGCAAGGGACGACTGGCTATAGACCTTGACCCAGGCTTCCTCAAGCTGAAAGGGCTCATCTGGTATACAGACGGGTCTCTGATGGGACAGGGGGGAGGTGCGATGAGAATCAGTCTTGCACTGTGTCGATACCGAACAGTATACCAGAGATATACGCCATACAGTACCGCTTTCTAGCTGGCCGTTTTATGCACGAAATCGAGCATTTGCGTGCACAAACGCGCGAAAATTGCCTACCTCTCCCCTGCCTCCTGATGGACAACCTCACAGCTTCGAGCAAGCGGGAAATATTTAAGATTTCAGAAGCGTGTTCCAACTGACATAAGCGCTCCAAGCTTATGGGGTTCGAACGGCGCGCTGCCAAACCTACGCACGTTTTCAGCTGGAAAGCGGCTCAGGTGTGTGCTCAGGAGAATCTCCAGAGAGCTTACTCAGACAAACATATTTATATATGCAGCGACAGTCAGGCAGAACTCTGAGCCCTTTGCTCAGACAAGGTCAACTCAAGACTCACGCTTGACTGTATGCCAACCCTAAAACTACTCAGTCGGTTCAACAACGTCACCCTTGTTTGGGTTATGGCTCACATGGGCATAAAAGGAAACGAGGAAGCAGACCAGCTGGAGCGTAGAGGTAGCATTTGGGGTTGCTTCCTGCTTAGTGGAAACCAAGATCAGGAACTGACCCAACAACCAGTTCCAAGACGAATTGCTGAATCAAAGAGGCCTCAGACAGTCAAGGATCTTTATACAAAGTCCCTCAAACTGCAAAAAGGCAAAAAGCCTCCTCCTCAAACTAAACAGAAGCCAACTAAAAACCATCACAAATGTCCTGAAAGTACCAAGCATATTATTGACTGCGAATGTGACGCCCTCGTCAGTCGCAGACTACGATACCTAAAGGGTAGGTACAGGTTTCTGGAACCTGATGAAATAAAGCATGTAAAACCTGACAGGGTCTGCACCTCTCCTAAAAGTTGCGGGCTCCTAGAGTAAAACAGGGCTGCATCGAGAGGGGGATAACACAATGGGCCACATGCGCGTCTACATGCTGCCTATAAAGGCTCCCATTTCAAATCAAATTACCCCAAATGACGCAAATGACCTTACCTCCTAAAATGTAGTTCAAAGGATGGTAAGGAAAATACCTAGGTATCTGAATTAACACTTCAAATGATACTCTATGAATTATTATCGGAGTGAGACAAGGGCTCCGAACTCAGAAATTTCGACAGTAATCGAAAAGTTTCAACGCATTTATGTCGCCAAAGTAGAAATAACGTGAAATTTCATTTCTCATTGTCAAATATTGACTACATTTTTCCGATCTACATACGAAAACGAAGTTTTATGACAAATCATTGAACTAAATGATGCATAAATCTTCTGGGGTTGGTGACATATGGGTAGAATGTCTGAATGAGTGTTCTATCTATACCGGGTGCCCACGAGATTACTTTCCAGCTTCCATTTTTTTATTTGTTCATCGATATCAACGAAACTTAGTAGGCTTGATATTCTAACAAAACGCCATTTTTGTGCATCCACGACAAGTCTTCCTGACATCCGGTTTTACCGGGAATTACCGAAACTTTTGATTTTCAAATGGCACACCCTGTATATTTTTTGTTTTTTCGATTCTACAGATCGTTTTACGTCCTAGTGTACCACTTTTAAATCGAGTTTTGTCCAAATTTCGTTTTCAAATTAAATTTTAAGTAGAAAAAAAAATTACCTACATAATAAATCAAAAATGTTGGAGTGTATTATATCGTTGGATTCGCCTTAAAATACTGCATTTAGTGATGTTGTGAAAGTGATATGTTGATATTAAGTAAAGTATGTAGAGTCATTTTAGGATGATCATGGCACTCTAGTTGAAAAATTTAACTTTAATTAAAAAACAAAATTTAGAAAAAAATCGATTCAAAAGTGGTGCATTAGGACGTAAAACGATTTGTAGAATCCGAAAAACAAAAAATATACAGGGTGTGCCATTTAAAAATCAAAAGTTCCAGTCATTTCCGGTGAAACCGGAAGTCAGGAAAACTTGTCATAAATGCATAAAAATGACGTTTGGTTAGAATATCAACCCTACCAAGTTTCGTTGATATCGATAGATAAATAAAAAAATGGCAGCCGGAAAGTGATCTCGTGGGCACCCGGTATGTAGGTATACTTAGTACCTACCTAGATCTAGTTACTGTAAATAGTATTTTATATAGAGCCAAGAAATTACCTTCATTCTAAATTGAGCACAAATCTAATGAAATTGAAATAATTATGACCAAAGATCCTAGATACTTGCCACTAATTCTGTTTATCAATAATCTCACGACGAAGGTCAAGAGCATAGGAAGGTCCTCAGATAACCCATGTTTATGAAATCTGTTTCAAGAAAAAAGGGAATAGACTCCCCAAAACCTACAAAACTGTAAGATAAAAAAGTAAATTCGTTCCTAGTCCTTAACTTTATTACGAATTACCTACAGAAATGAGAATGTTAAATTCACAAACCTTAGTTAGGCAAACAGTAAAATTCTGCATAAGTCATAGTCATATAGACTAATTGATATTAAAAACACATACTATCGCGATAGATAAAAATGATGAAGCAATTGGGATTTTTTTTTTCCTCTTAAGCATAGATTATCCATTTTCGCGAATTTTGTAGAGAAAGTGCTAATTTCAATGATGGAGTTGAGAATAGAAACAGATGGGACTTATGGACAGGGTGCTTCAAATTCCAGCCATATCATTGGGATCTGGGAAACGGTGAGAGATACAGGGTTAAATTCAGAGCTGTCAATACTTCAAGTAAATTACTTGGAAAATGTATTTCAATTACTTTTTAGTATTTGAAGTACTATAATTCAAATACTTTTGTTTTTGGATATTTGTACTTGAATCTGCAAATACGTTTAATAAAGTTTTTGTATTTGGTACTTGGATTTACAAAAAAAAGTAATTCAAATACTGAGCATTTGTACTCAATATATAAGTACTAGATAAATTTTAAATCGTTAAATTGAAAGTAATGAAAGTAACTACAATCTGCAACTGGAATCTTGTAATTTGGAATCTCTGTAGTACTTTTTTAGAGATACCGTAAAACGGGGATACTTTGTGACATGTTTTGAGGTTTTTAGAAATTCTCGAACATTTCTTTGCCATATAAAATTCTGAAAAAATAAATACACCATGTACCTATATCCGTTCTTTCGCT